GGATTCCAAGTCAGGAGCCAAAAGAATGATGAGCCCTTGCTGGAGGCAGCGTATGATGCATTATTAATGCCATTTTCAATATCAAACATGTCAGGAATCATACACATACTATATTCTCCCAGCATCAAAAATACGAAGGCCTTATTGCTGATAGATCTTAAAGATGCCCAGCTACAGAACTTGCTGGAAAAAAAAGGAGATCTGCCCATGTGACATGGCTCTGTCACAGGCAGTGCTTCCTGCCCATTCTTTCCCAGGACCACAAGCTCCATGTCCTGCCATGCTGCCTGCTGTCCCAGCTGTGCACACCCCAGCTCGGCCCCTTGGAGCACCGCTCACCTGCAGCTGTCAGAGCAGAACAGAGCCAGCAGGGTTTGCATTCCTTCTTCAGAAAGGAAAACTCTTTGGTGGTTTTAAACTGAGACAGGAGAGGTTGAGGTTGGAGATGAGGAGGAAGTTTTTCCGCCAGAGGGCGGTGAGGCACTGGCACAGGTTGCCCAAGGAGGCTGTGGATGCCCCATCCCTGCAGGCATCCAAGGCCAGGCTGGATGTGGCTCTGGGCAGCCTGGGCTGCTGGTTGGTGACCTGCACACAGCAGGGGGTTGGAGCTGGATGAGCATTGTGCTCCTTTGCAACCCAGGCCGTTCTGTGATTCTGTGATGATATCAATGTACGGATGATGCTGTTACCTTGGAAATACTTTTATGGGTTCTTTTTCTCCCAGTATTTGGGAGCAATATGCCCCCACGCCTGGCCCTGTCCCAGCAGCCTGCAGATGGCTGATGTGCAGGCAGGCACGCACCAGCCGGCACCGCTGTCTCAGTGTTACAAGGCCACAAGGTTTTGAAACACAAATAACCGCTTTCATACTCTGCAACAATGATGCTTGTTCCCCAGCAGGCACAGAAGCTCAGGGCTGTCACTAGAAAGCTGCCACACTCTGTTCAGACCAGTTTCCCATCGTATCTCCAGGGAAAGCAGGGCAGCTTTTCCTGAGCGCCCCGTTCTGAGCTGTGTGATCCCTTCCTGATCGCTGGAACGGCAAACGCTGCAGGGCTGCTCTGTGTGTAGACCAGCCCATAATGACACTGCTTTGGGGTTTCCCCTTTAATCCCTTACACTGCTGTGTGTCAGCCTGAGAAGCCCACAGGTGGGCAGGTCCGTGGTTGGTGCTGTGTGTCTTCGTTTGCCCTCCCTGCCGCTGTCTTCATGGATAAGCAGCAACAAGGGAATGGGTTTTTGTAACGTTGTGGTGCCTCTGCTCTGTCTCACACAAAGTCTCTGCTGTAAATTCCAGCAGGGTTTTTGCTGCTTTGCTCTCTGAATCGATGTCCTCGCAGGTGAACAGCAGCTCAGGTTATGTCCCTTACTTTGACAGAGGTGAACGAATCTGGTCAGTAATTGCATATAATGCTCATACTGCATTTTAATTTGTTTGTATTTAGAAGCTCGGGAGCCTGACTGTTTCTTGTCTTTGAAATGAGTGTCTCTGAATCCAGTGGAGTTCCATGAATGTATATTATCTAAAATCTGTCTACCATTCACTAACCATTCATTGATTTGAACAAAATGAGGCAAAACTAAAGTGAAACCATACAAGGGAGCATTTAGCAATGCTGACATGCTCAGTCCTTGGTTCCAGGCTGATTTTCCTTCCCTCTCTCCTCCTTCTCAGGGAAGGACACAGACTGAGGTCTGTAGCAGGGCAGGAAGCACCTCCTTCTCTGTGTGCTCCAGGGTCCACATCTTCCATGTCAGGAGGGATGTTCTTCCATGACAGGAGGGGAAATTCTTTACAGAGAGAGTGGTGAGGTGCTGGAACAGCTGCCCAGAGAGGCTGTGATGCCCCGTCCATCCCTGGAGGTGTTCAAGGCCAGGTTGGATGGGGCCCTGGGCAGCCCTGGCTGCTATGAAATGTGGAGGTTGGTGGCCCTGCCTGTGGCAAGGGATTTGGAGCTTCATGATCCTTGAGGTCCCTTCCAACCCTGGCCATTCTGTGATTCTGTATGTGCAGGGCATCCCACCAGCCTGGGCCTGGGCATGGGGGTCTGCACTCTGTCATACCCAATAATACATCCTGCTGTAGCTCTGCACAGATCTACATCTCATGTACCCATGTTTCCTCTGGGAAGCTGGAGAAGCACAATTCTTTTTGCGTGCTTTCCTCTGGGAAACCTTCCCTGCCTCCCTCACAAGTTTTGGAGCTTGCAATGTGCATGCAGAGTGGCTTCTCCATCGTGCTGCAGCTCTCAGTGCCAGCAGTACCTGTGCAGAGATCGTTACCAAGGCTGATCAAATTCCGATTATCTGCATCCCTCAATCCTCTGATGTTTTCCTTGGCTACATTCAAGATTAATCATTATATCCTTTCTTCAGCCTTGAAGATTTAATTAAAAGAGAAAAAGAATCGTCGATTTCTGCGTAGTTTTTCAGAACCAGTCTTATTACAGTAAGTAGTGGTGAGGCAGCAGATTTTTCTCTGGGAAGTCTTGTTAAAGCCTTAGCATTCCAGATTGGAAGCTCCTGATGGCAGCTCCATGCCTGCACTGATCTGATGGGAGCCTGTGGGATCTGCACTCCAGTTCTGTGCCCATCCGTTGCCACCTCCCTTGTGTTACAGGACGTGTTGTGCGACCAGAGCTGAGCTGGCAGCGAACTTCTCACTCTGATTCCTGGGGGAATGGATGCCAGATGTGGGCAGCCCCATCTGGGCCAAAAGTGGCCACCCGTGGGCTCAGGGCAGCACCCAGCTTTCCAGGCTCCTATGGGACAGAGCAGAACAGGCTAATTGTAGCTCAGTTGTCACCCTGGGGGTGTCAGACAGCTCTGTGCTGTGACCGTGTGCTGTCCCCCAAAGCAGCTGCTGGGCTCATGCTCCTTCTACTGTGCCTCTATTAACAGTTTTGCCCTTTGCTTTCTTGTTCCAGTTTCTTCAGTTTGCTTTCTGTGAACAAGCAAACGTTCTTGTAGTTTTTGCCCTTCAGAAGTAGAGGTTCTGATGTAAGTTATTCTGACAAATCACTGTCATTAAATCTGTTATTTCTCTGACATTCACATATAAGCAGTTAAAATTGGATTACGCTGCTTCTCATTTGCCAGGGTTGTGGAGCAGCCAGACTCCACTGACCGCAGCCATCACTGCAACATATTGTTTAAGAAAGTCGTCATACACATAAATGCTTCATTCATCTCAGAAGGAGGAATTCAGTGCCATGGGCTGTGGACTGCCCCATTTTCTGCTTGAAGATACCTCTGTTCTCGAGCAGTCACTGACGCAGTGTATCTTCTGACAGAAACAAGCAGGAATTTCAAACGCAAAGGACATCTACACCACCTCTTTAGAGATTTTGTAGCGTGTATCCAACATTTATTTCATTTTAATTTCTTTGAATTACTAAAAACATGTTGTTTTTTTTCTGTAGAAAAATGGAGGCTGCAGTCAAACACCACCACAGGAAACAGCAGAGCTAAGGCTGCTCGCACTGCCCTGCTTTGGTCCCCTGGCAGCAGTGCAGCTCTTTCCCTCCACCCCTCCACATCCGTGCTCCCCATCACCCAGCACCTCTGTCCATTTGTTCCCAAACTTGGCCACCTCCCCCGGCTGCTCTCAGCCCTGTCCTACCTTCTCATCTCTGTTAAGTAGCACCAGAGGTGGCTGCCCCTGTCTGCTCTTTTCTCCTCATGGATGCAAGTGTTTGCTCTTAGAACATAAATTGGATTTCTTTCATTATGATGTTATTTATATTTATTATTATTCTGCTTTTGCAGCTGTCTGCAATGCTTAGCCTCCTTCCTAGCACTTGGACAGGACTAGGGCTGCTCTACTGTGCTTTTCATTAGGAATCAAGATGAATGTCTCAGTGCATTCAAAGTCATTGTCTAAAAGCATTTTTATCTGCATTAATAAGGTTAGTGTTAAGGAGTCTGGGAATACTTTTCCAAATGAGAGCTTTCTGTGTATGTTTTATTGTATGAATTCACCAAAATTTGGAAACAAAGTGTTATTTCAAAACAGAAGTGTGGTGACAGTTAAAAATGCATTCCAATGGATTTTGGAACTGATGAATGCATGCAATCTGTCTGCAGTTTGGCTTTATCTTAGCAAGTTACTTCTCCAGCAAAGCATTTTTCATCAGATTTTTTGTTATTCTTCAACCTTCAATCGTGTTCTGAAGCGCCATCCTTTCTGCTCTTTGCTCCCAAACAACAAAATGTGTGCTGGCACAGAGAGCTTCTGGGGCTTTGTGCAACCCCTGCTTGTTCCTATAGCTTCTTGCTATTTCTATCACTTTTAGTATGTTTACCATTGCTTTCTTAAAGTTATTTGGAGGAAAGCAAACTTTTTTATGTGAGACATTTTTCTGGAAGCAGATTTCCCAGCCAGAGCAGTGAGGGTGCCTTGAGACTGGAGGTGGAAGGCCAGGCATTGCTAAGGCTAGGAATGGCATCCGGGATCATTGAGTCCAACAGAGCACAGTCCACATCCTGCGTGCTGTGTGAATGCAAAGTGCAGGTGAATGATGAGATAAACGGTGAGAAACGTTTCAATGACAGCCAGCGGTGTAAACAGTGTGCTGTGCACCCAGCAGCGCAGGCTGAGCTCCAGCCAGCCTCACGCACCACAGGCGGAGCACCTGAGCTGGAGGTGTGAGCTTCGAGTTCCCGAATCCCAGCTCCCAGCTCTGCGCTCCTCCCTGCAACGGGAGACGGGCGGAGGAGTGAGAAAGGCTCAGCAGCTCGTGGCACGGATGGGTTTCCGTGCCTTTGAAGCTCCGCTCGGACAGCGTGGGGCGAGATGCCGGCACGCAGCCCGTCCTTTGACGCCTCGTGGCGGCAAACCCGTATTTATCAGACACGTTTATTGACCATAAACCTGGCTGTGGATGGTCACAGGGCGGTGGTGCGCAGCCCGGGCAGAGCCACGCAGTGCCCACAGGGGACACCGGCGCCCGGCAGCGCTGCCCAGCCCTGCCTTCACACGTCTGCTTCCCTCCCTGCAGGCGGCTGAGAAGATGTAGCGCCGGAGGAGCAGCACCGCAGGGGGACGCGGGGCCGCACCATGTCGAGGAGGGGCAGCAGCCGCGCCAGGCCCGACGCCTTGGCCGCCCTGCAGGCCGCCAACGAGGAGCTGCGGGCCAAGCTCACCGACATCCAGATCGAGCTCCAGCAGGAGAAGAGCAAGGTGTGCTTCCTTCCCACCCCTCTCGGCCCTCCGCCTCGCGCGCAGCCCGTTGCCGTGCCTTGGGAAGCACGTGGCCAGCGGGGATCGACCGTGTGTGAAGCGAGCTGGCCCGTTCCCATCCAGCTCGGAAGCGGTTCCCCCTTGCTGCAGCACAAGGCGCCCCGCTCCCAAGCCGGAGCCGCGGCCCCGCGGCAGCCATCAGCCCTGCGTGGCCGCCGGGACGCAGCCCCGCTAGAGGCACGCAGTGCCCGCGAGCGCAGCGCGGTGCTCTGCATCATTCGGCCCCGTGATCTGACGCTGGAGGCTACGATTCTAATTTTTAAGGAAGTTGGCCAAGGCAACACACACTCATACATTTCAATAGGGCGGCAATCAATAATTCCGTGGTGAAGCAGGGTCTGCAGCTTTAAGAACAAGGACGCTGCTTTCCATCCCACTGCCATCCCCTTTTTTGATACAAGGCTTCTCATCGTAGCTTCTATTGAGTTCCTGCTACGGTTTTGAACTGAAATATCATTTGACCCTTCTGTGGCCGGGTACATTTTGTTATTTGCAATGCAGAATTCATCTCTGAAAAAGCACCTGATGAAATTCTGCTGTCTGGGGCTTCGCAGCAGCTGTCGCCAGGCTTTCTGTACCTCCCTGCGTGTGCAGACAGCTGCATTCAGGTCTGTGCCTGAGCAGCCCCATGGGATGTGGCAGGAGGGCTTCTTCAGAGACCCAGAAAGTAAAGGGCTCAGACTTCTCTGGAAGGTGCTGGCTAATTCTTAGGTGTGTATGAAACATAATTCTGTCCATAGCTTGTATCACAGACATGTTAGTCCAGTTTCTGAGCATTTGCCTCATGTGGTGTTTGGATATTAGTGCTTAGTTCACTTGGGTTTTGTGCTTCTTGCAGAAATTTATTACACTTACATGTCAGCTAATGCTTCTCGGGCACTAAATCAGGCAAACTGAAGTCTCTGAGACCGCAATGGATTATTAAAATATACAGAGATTACCACTGAGGCTGACTTCTTGACAAAGTCTTTTCTATTGAGCTGTCAGGATTCCTTTTCTCCTATTCACAAATTATTTTCTTCCAGTTCTCTGTAACGTTGCAGTTTTTCCTTTGCAGCAGCACTGTTTAGTTCTATAGAGTGCTCTCATTTGGGAGACAGACTTAGACATATTCTTAGCAAGGAAGCCTTATTGTGTCACCATAGGAAGACAAACGCAGCTTCGCTAAAAAGAATTGACCTGACCTTTTTTTCCCAGTAAGTAAATAATTATAAAGTACCGAATATTCATTTCCTAATCTTGGCATTTGAATATATGCACAGACTGATCTGATAAACAACGTGGAGCAGAAAAGAGAGCAAATGGAATTGCACTCCCTGCCCCTGAGCAAAGCTGCTCAAGGAGGTGGTCACGTATGCAAACGCCACAAGTGCTACAGCAGATACATGCTGGAATACACTGCACTGCAACGCCTGCCACTGAGCCAAACCTGCTCCCACTGAGGTGGATATGGTCCCCTAGGACCTGTGGCACACTGGTACCCCAGGACACCACTGGTGGCTGCTGCCAGCAGTACCAGCTCTCCCGGTGCGTGTGCAAGTGTAACCCCCCATGCACACAGCTGCATTCACTGCTACTGTGGTCAGAATTAAAGGAAAGGATCTCTGACTTAGTGCCTCATTGAAGTGCGCTGGTTCATAGCCACAGCACACAGAGGACCAGTTGCATTTGAAGAGTTTTATCCATTGCCACCACCAGTTTTGGTTACGTGCAGCTACACTGGCTCTGGTAGCTACATGGTGAACATTTGGTGCTTCCGTGGGAGGGGACGGATCCTGTTAGGGCTGTGACAAATGTGATCCTGGTGTTACTGGTGTGCCTGAGACCCCCGGCTGCACTGGGGCCCCATCGAGGGCCCCATCTGATGGGGCCAGACCTGGAGTCCAGCAGCACTGCAGGTGGGAGCACAAAGAACCTTTCCCACAAATCATAAAGGCCTTCTCCTTGAGGAAAAGGGTTTCGTATTGTGCATTTTGTTCAAATGAAATGCCTCAAGAGAGGAAATTTCTCTTTTTGAAGCATACAGCATGAAGGCAGGGGGAGCAGTGAGGTCTGCTAAGGGATGGATCTGATGTCAGAGCAGCCAAGGCAGTGCCTGCTGATCCCATTGGTACCCAAAAGCTCTTCTGAAGAGGGTTCCTAAAGCAGCTGAGACAAAGGACATTTGTACTCCTGCATCAGTAGCACCAGCTCTCCCAGGCACAGATGTAAAACATTAGGTCTGATACAATAATGTGATCCATATCTGTCCTAGATTATCTCAGAATTTCTGGTAATCATTTTGTTCGTAAAAACGCTGCTCTTGTTTGGTTTTCCATGCAGGTCAGCAAGTTGGAGAGAGAGAAGAATCAGGAGGTGAAGCAAATCAAAGAGCACGAGCAGCACAAAAGCACAGTGGTGGTCACAGAGCTCAAAGTCAAACTTCACGAAGAGAAAATGAAGGAGCTCCAAGCTGTTCGGGAAGCACTTCTGAGGCAGCACGAGGCCGAACTGCTCAGAGTAATCAAAATTAAAGATAACGAAATCCAGAGACTCCAGGCCCTGCTGACTGCTGTGCGCGACGGGGCTCCCGACAAGGTGAAAACCGTGCTGCTGACAGAGGCCAAGGAGGAGGCCAAGAGGGGCTTCGAGGTAGAGAAAATAAAAATGCAGCAGGAAATTTCGGAACTTAAGGGGGCTAAGAAACAAGTGGAGGAGGCTCTGACTATGGTCATCCAAGCTGACAAAATTAAAGCCGCAGAGATAAGGAGCGTGTATCACCTGCACCAAGAGGAAATCACCAGGATTAAGAGGGAGTGTGAGAGGGAAATCCGCAGGCTGGTATGTGTTGCTGTCTGTACCAGTGCTTTTACTAACGCTTTTGCTCTTGATAGCGGTTCAATGAAAGTGCTGGGCTGCTTAGACGCATGAGGATGGGCAACCAAGCTTTTGGAGCTTACTCCAGACCCATTTTCTGATTGCTAATAGTGATGTCCAAATGTCTTTTTTTAAACCTGCTTGGGATGATTTTGTATGGAGCTTCTTTTTACCTCTGTCAGTGCTTGTTGGTACAAGCCATGTTTCAGATGTGAGGAACAGGCCTTTTGTTGCCAGCTGTGTGAGGGGAATCCCACAAAATAGCCATGCTTTTGGCCTCCTGCAGCCTTTCATCCCTTTCCCCCCTCTCTTTCCCCACCCTTTGCTCCTCACTGACCAACTTCCATCCCTCCCCATTGCTGGTTCCTGTAAACATTCCATAACAAGCTGTATGCAATCCCAACATGCTGTTTTCTCCCATCCTAGAGTCCTGAGCCCTGCAGCCTGGAGGTGATGACCCCACCACTCTGCAGGGTGCTCAGGAGGAATTCTCCCCTCTGTGTCCCCCCTCAGTGGCTTTCCCCCAGGGCAGACAGTGACAGTCCTCTCTGTGGACCCATCTGAGCCTTGCTGCATCTGTGTGTTTCAATCAGCTCTTCAGACCATTTGAGTTTCAGCTACGACAGATTGGATCTCAAAAGCTACACACCAACAGCTTCAGAATATAAATGCAATGGACTTGGAAGCTAGTTAGGGATGTTAGAATGTGCCATTTAAAGAAAAACAGGAGAATTCCCCATGGAAGGGAAGTCTTTGCAAGCAAACCTGGTAGCCACCTGCACTTTCTGGAGTTTGGAACAACTCCTCCTGCACTGGCAGCTGGCTGCTTGCCTTGCCATTCCCCCACAGCCTCTGAGTGCAGCACAGCTCATCTGCAGGACTCTCCTAACCTTGCTACCATTCCCAAGAACACAGGAACATATTTAACACCCATACTCCAATGTGGTGTATTTTGGGTTTTCTTTCAGTATTTATTTGATGCTTCCAGCTTTTGGGGTCTGCCATGTTTTTAAAGGTATGCAGTGTCTCAGGATAAACTCATAAATGTCTCTTCTAACCCATTCTCACTTGAGTATTAAGAAAGCTAAATCAAAGCCAACTAGACTGTCATGGTTCTATGTCACGGAGTTGACATAGACCAGCACCAGGAATAAAATGGCCCCATGTGAAGGCAAGGCAGTGTGGTCTCTCCATGGAATGCCCTGCAGCACTGCTCACCCTGTACTCTGCCACCCGTTCTCTCAGAATTCACATTGCTTCTTCCCCTCATATATTATTTTCTTTTAAGACGGGGATGTTAAAACAATTTACAACCAACTGATCTGTCAGTGCTGTTCAAATATCCTGCAGTGTAAGTAATTCTTCTCTAAACATACACTGCTGGATGCATTGATTTAATACATCACAGTGAAAGGATGGCTAATGTACATCCTAAATAAACTTAAGGCATTACAATAAAATCCACGCTAATGGCCTCTAATGTAGAAGTTATAAAATAAATATGTCCTTAGCTATGAAGAATAGAGCGACTGAATGTCATGTTTTCTAAATTGCCTTTGGAAATCAAACTTTTTTTATTCCTGCTTCAATGAATCAGATTATCTAACCATACTAATTAAATTACACGATGCCATCGCTTTACCAGGCCCTAAGTGCTTCCTGAATGACATCAAGCTCTCTCTGTTCCACTGACTTGACCACAGTTGGTTTCAATGGAGCCGCTGGCACCTCACGGGGGAGGGCCATGATGTTCCAAGCTGGTGTGGTGCTCCATGGAAAACTGTTCTTTATGAAAACTGTTCTTCTCAAAACCCTCAAACTATTACTGAAAACCAGTTCTCCTGGCTCAGATGCTTCCAAGATGTTAACGTAAGAGACAAGAGTCATATTGCAGACAGTAACAAGTCCATATGGCAACGTCCCTTCTGGTTTTAGTAAACTTCAATTTTTAATTTGTACGTTTCAAAACAATGTAAAGCAGCAGATACATGAATTCAGATGCATTCATATGGCCTCCATCTGATGCCACCCCACTCAGGAATGCGGGTGCTTTGCAGGGCTGGATCTGACCCAGCCCATCACCATCCATAGAACCATAGAATGGCCTGGGTTGCAAAGGAGCACAGTGCTCATCCAGCTCCAACCCCTGCTGTGTGCAGGTCACCAACCAGCAGCCCAGGCTGCCCAGAGCCACATCCAGCCTGGCCTTGAATGCCTGCAGGGATGGGGCATCCACAGCCTCCTTGGGCAACCTGTGCCAGTGTCCATGTCCAGTGTCCATGCAGGGGCATTGCTGGGCATGCTGCTTTCCCTGGGCACGTCACAAACATTTGGCTGGAGTTCAGTCAGCCTGCAGACAGAGTCCTTCTCTGGCCAGTGTTGTCCCCTCACATTCCCTACCTGCTGGCTGTCCCCTTGCACACCCTGGCTGCTGTCTAGGACACGATGCAGGCAGGGAGGTTGTTAGGGAATGGCTCTGCTGCAAAGGGCTGCTCTCACTGACATCTCAGCTGCTGCCCATGGAGGGCTGCCTTTCTTTCACGTGCCTCAAATGCAGGTGTCTGCAGAATTTGCAAAGCCCCAAGAACATCACAAGTAGAAATTTACCAAACAGGGAAACCTACATGTAGGTTTTAAAATCATTGTGGAAATACTGCATTTTAAAAGAGCCACAAGGCTTAAGACCAGCTAAGTGTGAAAACTGTGCTAGGAACTGCACTGGAGAGCACAAGGAGAGGAAACACATTGTGCTCCGCATGCAATTAGGTTTGCATTAACTGGTCTCAGCTGTGCTCATGGCTGGCACTGCTACCAGGACCTCATCTTCCCCTCCTCTTGATGTCTGTGATGCAAGGAAGAAATGTGCTGGATAACAACTGTAGTGAAATGCTTCCTTCCTTTGGTACTGCTTCCACACCATTTCACTTTAATAGTGAGATGGCAGCATCAAATTGTTTTATGTGCTTCATGAATGTGAATTTCATCCTAAGAAAGGAAATGTGGCCACTGATGCTTCCTCAGCTGTTCACCACATGTTCTTTTAGGTTTTTTTCTAAAACATAGACCACTGCTGAGGCACTGTGTTAAAAGTCCTTTGCATTTTCTGCTGTATCTTTATTCCTTTTAAAGTGCTGTTTGTGTAGTGCCATGACTCTGCTTTCACAAAAATAGAGATAACCACCAACATTCTACCTATTTTAAGCAAATAATCGTTTGATGGTGCATTATCTTTTCCTTTATGGATCCATACTGATTTCTATTGATCTCTTTGCTCAATGAAGCTGCGGATGCCTCCTCCCTGGAAGCATTCAGGGCCAGGCTGGATGGGACTGTGAGCAACCAGGGCTACGGGAGGTGTCCCTGCCTGCAGCAGGGGGTTGGAACTGAATGATCTTTAGGGCCCCTTCCAACTCAAACCAGCCTATGATTCTAACTGTTTAGATATTTAGCAGAAGGACCTCTACAGACATATCTGAGTCACAGTCAGCAGATCATTGCCTTAATGGAATTCCTGAGAGCACCCATACTAATGTGCAGCTGAGCAGCTCCTGTTTTCAGCATTTTACAAAGAGAACCTGCACTTGTTCCCAGGAGGCAGGGACAACATCCTTGGAGAGATGTGTCCATGTGCTGTGCCATTCTTCCCCAAGTTTTCACACTGTTTTCCACGTCACAGACAAAGCTGTCACAAAGAGATAAACGTGTCAAATCCAGTCCTCGCATGGCAAAGCATTCTTATTTGAGCAGGCCATGTTTTAAACGAAATGTGTCGAGCTTCAGAACTGCTTAAAACCTCACTTGCCCAGGATGCATGTGTTGTGCCTGGAGAGCACAGGCGCTTCAGTGGATGTGCTTTAGCAATCTCTAGCTTCCCAGATCCACTCCCTGTAAGCACAGCTGGCCACCCAGAAGTGTGTGTGTGCACTTAATGCTTCACGTTCACACATTGTGTGTATGAGCACAATGCAGCTGTGAAGGGCCTGAGGTCGTGCTGCAGCACTGCACACACCTGCAGGCAGATGCCCCAGTGCACAACTGCTTGTCCTTGGCAGCCCTGGCCCCGTCCTGTCTGCACTGCCCCAAGAGCCCAGGGCTGCCCTGCTGTGGAGATCATCAAGGAAATCACTCAACAGGGAAACTTTTGGGAAGAAAAACCTTTCGAGCATTGACAATGTTCAACTTTTAACTTCTTTCTCTCAGAGTTATTATTATTATTTTTTTTATCCCTTTTACTTTTGTTGTTCACTGAAGTGAAGGGGGAGGTGTTCTGATGTGGTACTGAAACTGCGGGTTGTCTCCTAACTGCTTTAAAGAAAAACTCCTGTAAAGTTGGGGCGGTCTCTAGAAGCTGTCGGTCGGCCACACGTGCATGCACAATGCTCATGAGTTACTGAAGCAATGCTGGGTTTGTTCGTTGTCCATTTTTCCTTGCTGTTGTGTTTGCAAGAGGAGGGTTTGTCTTCATGTCCAGGGGTTGGCTCTGTGGCAATGGTTGGGCTGTAGGGCGCTTCGTACGGCCGAGCTGCTGCATGTGTGTGTGATTGTGTTCTGTTCTCCTTATAGATGGAGGAGATTAAGTTTAAAGACAGAGCAGTCTACGTGCTGGAAAGAGAGTTAGGGGTTCAAGCCGGGCATGCCCAGAGACTGCAGCTCCAAAAGGAGGCTTTAGATGAACAACTGTCCCAGATCAAAGAGTCTGACCGGCACCTGGGCAGCCCCAAGCGGGAACTTCCTTATGCAAGTGGTGCAGGAGACGCTTCAGATCATTCGGGAAGCCCCGTAAGCACTTTCACGTGGTTTCACCTAAACAAACGAACGAGCAGAATGACCAAATGACACCAAATGACAGGATCTTGATGAGTGCCCTGTGAGCAACAGCTTTCCCATAGTGACCCAGGGGAAACGGAGAGGCGTTAATTTCTCGCTCTCGTTCATTAGCCGGATGTTTAACATTTCAAACCGAACCAAATTATGGGAGAGCTTTTGCTTGTTTGTCGTTTTGTTTTCTGGTTTCCTTTGTTTGTTTTTGATACCAGGGTGAAAATTTTCCTCTCTCTCTTCTTTCCTTTCCTTACCGTACCATTCTTGTACCACCTGCCTTAATTTGACCGTCTGACACAATTCTTGCCAACAAATGATGCAAATGCTTTTCTAACCAAGTGATGTATGTGTGCTAGCTGTTGGAACTGCTGACAATGTACTGTGCAAGCAGATGTGCAAGGCTGCTTTACAGAGGGAGGTGGGTGAAGCTGCCCGGTGCACAAGCACTGGAAGCCCACGTGCTGCACTCCCTGCTCCTCCATCCTCACGCTGCAATTGCTTTCAGTGGGCCAGAAGGTCAATTAGAAGCCTGTTAACCTCTTCTTTCCTATCTCTTTTCTACAACACAATATCCAAAACATTAAATCTTAGTCATCTTTTCACGATGTTGTTTGTTTTTTTTTTTTAAATTGTAACAACAGCCCCTTTCTGCTTTTGCCTTAATTTGCTAACAGCAGAAAGCTTCAGTTAACTAACCTTGTATGTCTCACATTTGCCAATTTTCTCCATTGCTGATTCTCATCAAGATTTCCTTTGCAACAGCCTTAATTTTCTCAGTAGAAGTGTAAATAGTCACACATGAGCAAAGCGATCTATTTTGTTCTTTATCCCAAGCCTCTCCTGCACCTGTTGAATGAGGAATCATAGACCTCCTGAAAGTGCCACTGGGACTGAGAGCACTAATTTGCTTCTTTTGATTTGTGCTCAACTTCTGCCAAATATCAGAATAAGTACAGAGGAGGAAAAAATAGCACGTCACACCTGTAAATAGATGTAACTTTTCTCTGATTCTGAATGAGAGCACCTATCTGTATTTTTCTTCATTTATGAATTGATTTAAGCATTTTCACTCAGATAAACTGCTGCCCCATTTGCTTTACGAGTGACTCTACCCAATAAGGGCCACAGCTTTATGGAAGAGAGCTTATGCAATGGTATAATTGCATGGATTTTCCCCATTTGTATGTCAGTACTTCTGATACCATCTTATAACAAAGTCCTCGGAGTGGGTGACGTGTCTGAAACACTCAGTTCAACAGTGGCATACATTGGAAACACTGCCTTGTTTTTTTATGTTTTCTTTTCTATTTCCAAGTTTAGCATTTTCCACCTTGTATTTGCATACACATACTTTGCATTTGCATACTTTGTTACATTTTCACTCTTGCCTTTCCATCGGTCCCATCTTGCAGCTCTCAGTGGTCAGCTCCACTAAGGCGTACCTTACACTCTTCCATCTGATAGCTTTGAAATATTTGGATTCGGGATAAAAAGGAGGCTGAGCTTTGCATAACACTGCTATCCCCTGCGCACTTAGGAGCAGTTATTTGCAGTTGATCTTTGTTTTAGGAACAGCAGTTGGATGAAAAGGATGCCCGGCGCTTCCAACTGAAAATCGCCGAGCTGAGCGCCATCATCAGGAAGCTGGAGGACCGCAATGCGCTGCTGTCGGAGGAGAGGAACGAGCTGGTGAGCCGCTGGGATGGGCACTGCGCTGCTACAGCACTGATCACACTGATTTTGGCTTTTAAAACGGTGTCTTTTTTAAGAAGGAATTGGCAAGAGTTGTCAGCTCCCCTACAAAGACAGGCTAAGGGAACTGGGCTTGGAGAAGAGGAGGTGTGGGGTGACCTCAGTGCAGCCTGCAGTACCTAAAGGGAGCCTACAAACAGGAGGGGAAACAACTCCTGGAAAGGGCAGATAACAACACGACAAGGGGAAATGGTTTGGAGTTGAGGGAGGGCAGATTGAGGTTGGATGTCAGGGGGAAGTTCATTGCTACGAGAGCAGTGAGGTGCTGGAGCAGCTGCCCAGAGAGGCTGTGATGCCCCGTCCATCCCTGGAGGTGTTCAAGGCCATTGGATGGGGCTCTGGGCAGCCTGGTCTAGCATTAAATGTGCAGGTTGGTGGCCCTGCCTGTGGCAGAGGGTTGGAGATTCATGAGGTCCCTTCCAACCCAAACCACTCAGTGATTCTGTGATTATAATTATTTTCAATAAACACATTCCCCACATGCTATATTTGTTGCAAACCTCACAAGTGAGGAACAACCCACTCCCCAATGGGCTATACCAAGAATTTCCTGATATATTCTGCTACATATTAAGAGAAAGTACTGCTACTATAGTAGTGAAAGAAAATGATTAATTTATTTGATAAAACATAATTGTTCCTGAGGTGCCAATTCTCTCTTAATTTTTCAGTTGAAACGCCTCAGAGAAGCTGAAAGTCAGTACAAGCCCATCCTGGACAAAAACAAACGCCTCAGCAGGAAGAATGAAGAGCTGTCACATGCCTTACGTCGAATGGAAAATAAATTAAAATTTGTAACGCAGGAAAACATAGCAATGGTAAGTCTGGGAATGAGAGCCATCCCGGAACAGGCAACCCGTGCCCACAGGGCAACGCGACAGCAGCACCACAGCTTGTGAGGTGCTTGGGAACTCCTTCTCCTTTCTGCTGTTTGCTGTGATGTCCTGAGTGGTTTGTGGCTTCAGCTTTTCTTTTGCATAACGTGCTTTATTTTGGCCTGACAGAACAATAGTTGTGAAGAAAAGGAACTGTGTGAGCTTTGTGGATGTCGATCAGATGGCTGCTCGGTCACAGAGCGCTGTTACAGCACAAACACAAAGCAGTTCACTTCAGCTTTGCCTTTTGTACCACAGTCACCCCATCACCCAAGGGAGCCCGCACCCACTGTGCTCTCCCTTCCCCTCCAGCATTACCTCCAGCACTGCTGGCAGCCACGAGCAACAGCTGTTGGTGGTGACACTCATAGATGCCATCACCACGGGGCCAACCTCAGCCCCTCATCATTCCAGAGCACAGCAACCTGGGCTGCTGCAGGTGGACACGAGTGCACAGCACAGCAGGCACAGCTGGTGGCCACAGCCCCCTGAGTGCCTTCTCCAGCAGGAGAATGGCCTGGGATGTGGGCAGAACCGCAGAACCAAGAGGCAGCTGTGAGCACAGCTGCTAGATGAGTGCATTAATAGCTGGGAACGGGAAAGGCTGAATGCAGCTCTTCAGCAAAGCCTCTGGATTGTTTCCTCTTTTGCCACATGGGTTTCTTTCAGAGGCAAAGAGCAGGAGCAATGCGGAGACCGAGCTCCTTAAACGACCTCGACCACAGCCAGGAAGAAAGAGAAGTGGATCTGCTGAGACTACAAATCATCGAACAGCAGAATATCATTGATGAGCTCTCTAAGGTAAGGTGGAACAGTGCCCCACTGACAGGAGGCCATCTGAGGACACACAGAGGAGGGGAAGCCCAAGGGAGGGCACAGCAGCAGAGGGAGCACAGCTGGTGTCTGTGATCAGCAGCCACTGACCTGAATCTAGGCTATATGTGGGACAGCATCTGGACAGAATCCTTCATCCCATGTAGTGCTTGCACAGCATGACCACTGCAGTGCTCCCAGCACACACACGCCAGCGGCCAGATCCTGCACCAGCAAAGCAAACTGCCCAGACTCCTTCAGCCAGAGCAGCACCGGGCCTGGGGGCAACTGCTGCATAAACAAGGGACACATTCTGCAGCACTGTGCTCTGGTTTTCTCTTCTTTGCTTTGTGCTCAGTCTTTGAAAAGAGCAGGTGAAAGTGCTTCACATACTGTGACCAGACCACTCCTCAAGAAAAGTGTGTTTGTTTTATTTGTGGGTTGTTTCTTTTATGCACTTTTACTGAAGTTATTTCATTCTTTTTTTTGTTAGACCCTGGAAACTGCCGGCTATGTGAAGAGTGTCATGGTACGTGAGAGGCTAACTTTACCCTCACCTTTTTACATATTTTAAATGCAGGTCATGAAAAGCACACAAGAGACACTTATTGTCACTTTCCTCCCTTTCTGGACAGCAAAGTAACTCAGTGTCTGTTCCAGTGCCTTTGCCCCTGAAGGCCCTACCAGCAGTTGTTCTTTGTATAACAATGCAGTGCCAGTGTGGAGCAGAGCTCTGCTGGGGGAGGAAAGCTTTCCCCTGTCCCAAGGACACCACAGATGGCAGCAGGGCCGGCTCGTCCCAGTGGCACAGCACGTGGTGCCCATCTGTGGGACAGCTCTGCCACATCACTGGGGTGTTTTTGGAAGGATATCCCAGCCTTGCCTCATCGTACCCACAGCAGCTCCCCTACAGGGCCCTGCACAGCTCATCCCTTTGCTCTTGGTGCTGAAGATTTCATTAAGTTTAGCCACCAATATATACCAAACGTCTGTACCATTTTGCTTTGCATTGCTAAGTGTGCAGCAAGCTTATGTTGCCAAGCAAAAAACAAGTGTTTGATTTTTCTCTGTCACTGCGGATAATGCAGGAGTGTCCCAGCATAAGCACACCCTCCAGCAAAGGGCTGAGGTGAGGCAGTGGGAGAGCATCCTTGTAGGAATTCACTGGCTCTTCAGCTCCAGAGTTTGCATGGACGTGCCATCCAGAATAACAATAATAAAGTAATCAGCACAATAAAAAATTAATAGCACTCTATGAAGAGAGTCATAATTACCAGCAAAGAGAAAAATTGGCTGGCAGCAGAACAGGCTCAGCCCCTCCATCAGAGTCTCTGAGAGCTGCACATCCTTGGGGAATGCAGGCGGGTTTGGCTTGGGCTTGCTGTTAATGTTGTTGGTTTTGGATGTGCTTGTTGCAAACAGCCTCAGAATTCTGTGCAATCTGGGCGATGACATGCATGCGTGGCACAGAGCAGTCAGAGGGCTGGGCTCTGTTTTTGTCCCAGCACAGAGCCTCAGTGCATGGAGCAGGGTGCAGAGCGGTGCCTGTGCTGTCCTGCGTTTGTTTTGCTATTTGGATTTTCATGACCACGAAGAGCGTTTGACAGTTGTTTACTGTAAACTCAGAAGACATTGGAGCAAAATTAAAACCAGTCCAGCACTGCCATCTTAGGTTGCCTCGTGACTATGAAAACTGCAGTGGTTAACTTAATTAACTGCTCTGTATCTGCTGTTCCAGGAACGTGATAAGCTGTTAAGGTATAGGAAGCAAAGAAAAAAAATGACAAGAATTCCTAAGGTAAAAGAAAAAAGCAAAAAAAAACTAAGTTGGTTTGTGATGGGCACAGTGGGCAGAGGGGCTGTGAGGGCTGGGGGAGGAACGGGGTGTGAGTGCAGGGCCAAAGCAGGCTGCCCCCATGGCACGGCTTGGGGGCAGGGCTGGGGGTGGTGTCCAACGGGGTGTGAGCACAAACCCCACAAGCTGTGGGGTAGGAGAGCCTTCCTACAGCCCTCCCAAGCCAGGCCCAGCGGCTGAGTGCGGGGCACGGCACGAGGACACACTGACACCTCTCTCTGGCCAGAAGCCGGTGGTGGAGACGTTTTTCGGCTACGATGAAGAAGCCTCCTTGGAGTCTGATGGTTCCTCTATCTCATATCAAACGGATCGGACGGACCAGACCCCGTGCACCCCTGATGATGACCTGGAAGAGGTATTCACGGAGCTGCGTGGTGTGTTTTGGGCGTTGAACCTGCTGTTGCTGTGCAGTGGAACCCTTGGTCTGTCCACTTGTGGTCGGCTCTGACCACAGCATTACAGACTGGTGCTGATGTCACACTGGGTGTGATGGGTAATGTTTCTGGGTCTCAGGTTTTTGGTAACTTCACAGCTTTTAGCCTAACTGGAAATACTGTTATCCTAAGGACACTGGGTCCAGAGTGGGTCTGGAGAGGGGAGGTCCCAGGTGCCCTGAGGAAGGCCTGCTCCCATGGTTCTCCTGCACTCAACATGCACCCTGCTTCTCCTCTGTCATCCGGAGCTTGGCGTGAGTGCAGCCATGAGCAGTATGACCCTGCTGCCCTGGGTTCTGCAGCCAGCACGGTGCTGGGGAAGAGCTGGCTCCCTGCAGTGCTCTGAGGATATGGCGTTTCTGGGACTCTGAGTGTGTCTAATGGAGGGAAAGGATTGTTTCCAGCATTCTGCACCTCTTCCCTACAGATGCACTCCCTGGTGTATGCCAGCCCTGTTCCTCAGCTTAACAAGAGCCTTGTAATAAACACCACTTGCTAACAGTGACAGCAGCCATTGCAGGCTATGATAGCTGCAGTTTCTCTTCTGCCACTTTGTTTCATAGGTTGTAATAAGATCTCTTGGTTCTGAAAGGGAACTTAAACACTGATATTTCTACCCTAGAAGATACACAAGTGGTTGCCAGGTGCGAGCTGCACTGCAGGAGGCTGAATCTATTTTTTGGAACCTATTTGTTTTTCACTCTTCTATTGCCATCTCCCCCCATGCAGACAGCTCTGAGCTTCTGCATGCACCCACAGTGTCATTTCATCTCATGTAGAGTGAAATATTGTGGTCAGCCTGACATGGAAGCACGCAGTGCTGGATGTGGTAAGGAGGGGAAAGAAGATGAAAGGTGCTCTTCCTGTTGATGTCACCATTTCTGCAGCTGGTATCTCCAGATTCCTGTTTTAATAAATGAGATATTAGGTGTGAGTCAATCTGCAGACTGGAAACCTATTCGTGATGCAAGAAAGCTTGGTTTCACCTTCACATTTGATGGCTTTGCCTGGTAAAGTAATATAGGGTCACCCAGTTGCTAGTGTATGACTCAGATAGAAGTCTTCATCTTCTCAAGGAGGAGGAAATTCTCTCTGTTTCTTTTATATAATTGTATATTTTATCTTAGTAAGGTGTATGCAGGAGGTGATTACTGGACAGAGTAGCAATAGTGTGAGAACACACAAACAAGATCTTCAGTGCTGCACTTCCCAAATTGCATTCTAATAGTAGTGACTTCAGCACTTCTAGAGAAGTGCTTCCAGAGAAAGCAATTATCCACTCATCTGTTATTATTACTGTTATTATTTTAACTTATTACCTCTTGTTTTGAACAATTTCAGGGCATGGCCAAAGAAGAGACAGAACTGCGGTTCCGGCAGCTGACGATGGAGTACCAGGCTCTGCAGCGCGCTTACGCCCTATTGCAGGAACAGGTCGGAGGAACATTGGATGCAGAGCGAGAAGTTAAGGTCTAAATGGCTTATATTACATGCACTAAAGGGCTGTTGTTGTGTGCACCGTGCTGTTGTACCTCTTCACACTGCAGCTGTCAGCTGCCCTCTGGCACCTGGCTGGGCTGTGGGATGGGGATCCCGGGGGGGGTCCAGTCCCCATTCCCACCCCACTCCCTCCCTCCTGCCCAGCCCACTACAGCCTGCGCTGCTTGCCGAGGTGAATTCCTTCTGCTGTTTTCACCTCGTGATCAGATTAAGAGAAATTCAGCCAGATTTTTAATGGGAAATCCTTAAAATTAAGCTCTCTTTCTATAAAAGTCCACTATGGTTGACCTTAAATGCATGATGCCTGTTATTCAGTTCCTCTGGATTCTAATTATTTGATTCTTCATAATATGGATTATAGCCCCAAAATTCATCTTCTTAATGAGGTTTCCAAGTGTCCTGTGCAGCTCTGCCTGTCTGCCTGGCTCACATGGCCACGCAGCTTCATCACCTCCAGTGGCATTTCCTTACCTGATGTCTTATCAGATGTAAGACGTTCTGGTCATGAGGAATCTGCTCTGTGCTGCAAGGGCACAGTGTGTCGTGTAGCTGCTGGGGCACAGAGTGCAAGGGAGAACACAGCCAGTAAGGGTGCTCTCAGCTGGCAGTCTGAAGCCTAAGAGAAAGATGCAGGCATAGCGATCAAAAAAGGATCATTTTCATTTGCAAACGACAGGATAAAGAGCAGATAAATGGTTTGAGAAAAGAAAATGTTCTATAAACATAGCATTTGATGAATAAAACAGCTACTGACAGTTCCATGTACTCTCCCTCAAAAATGCAGGGAGGCGTTGGATATTTAAGAAGGAAGCTATGAGCGTGGGTGAGAATGGCATACCGTGCAGTAGGAGCAGAAGGAAGGGCACTGAGGGCACAGGGAGCAGTGCGTGCTGTCAGTGTGTCCCTGCTCACACAGTGTGCTCTCTGCTGAGTCCCACATCACTCCTTGCACTGGTTTTCATGGCGAGACGAATGCATGCATTGCCTGCTGGTGTCACCCCCCTCGCTGTGGAGCACAGAGGGCTGCCAGCTGCTCCTCCTGTGGTCGGCTGTAAGAAGCCATGTGTCCTGTCCCATTCTTGTACCTACCACCAGAATGTTCATCTACAATCTTAAAACTGTCGTGCCATCCTGTAGGCTTCGTTTTACAGTGAGTGACCAATGCTGCGTGCTTAGCCCCGAATTTACCCTGCCATAGAGCTGTTAAAATTATCTGTGAAAAGGATTTGATGTTTTAAGCATTTTCCGTGTCTGTGTTAGCTTTCGGCTTTGAGGGAAAGTTGTATTTACTTATTTATTTCTGTGGTGTTTTTCCCTCCTCTCCTACAGACACGTGAGCAGCTCCAAGCAGAGATACACCGATCCCAGGCTCAGATAGAGGACCTGGAAAAGGCCCTGGCGGAGCAGGGGCAGGTAATGCCCTCAGCCCCTGCCCCATCCCAGGGGCAGCTGCAGTGCAGGGTGGGCAGGGGAGTGCAAGGGAAGGATGGCCATTCTCTAACGAAACGCTTGGTTTGCATGCATTACAGTAAGCTTCCATCGCCAGCTTTCCTTGTAGCTCGGTAAGAGTTTGCTATGCTGAAGGAGGGATAAGGTGGGGAAGCTGTCAGAGCTGGGGGTGGGAGGCAGTGCCCAGTGCAGGCTGCTGCTGCCTGCCTCATGTCCACCAACATGACTTGCATCCACGTGACCAAAATTTAACAGGAACTGGGTGGTGAGGCATAGCCCTCTGAAGGCAAACATTTTTTAACCTGAGTTCTTTTTGGTCATTAGAGTTTTTAAATTCCATTTGTATGCTCCAGACTTTCTCAAATAAGATGGAAGAGTTGCTCTGCTGCATCACAGGCAAACAACAGAGTTGCAATTTCCTATGCAGCATCATTCCTCTCTGTATGTGTGACTTAATGAATGACGTGCTGCTGTGCTTGTGCCAAACACCGCCGGTTTTCACCCGTGCTATCAACCATTTGTGTTTCCCAGGACATGAAGTGGATTGAGGAGAAGCAAGCACTGTACAGAAGGAACCAAGAACTTGTGGAAAAGGTGCCCAGCACTTCTACTGGTATTATTCAAATAACATCTATTGCTTACGGAATGCAGAAAATGGTACCAAGGTGTATTGCTTTCTTGTACAGATCAAACAAATGGAAGCAGAGGAGGCTCGCCTGAAGCACGATGTGCAGGACGTCAAAGACCAGAACGAGCTCCTGGAGTTCAGGATCCTGGAGCTGGAGGTGAGCTCGTGCCGCAGGGCTGTGCTGCTGCCCCGCACTGCGTGTCACTGGGGCTGGGGCACCACAGCTGGGCCCGTCCCGACTGCCTTGTTGTAAGACACAGCGCTCAGTGAAGGTGCTGACGAGAGGAAAAGTACCCCAAGTTACTTCCAGCACCGCCGCCGTGCCCGTGGCAGGGCTGCTCTGCCAGCTGCTGGAGGCAATCCTGGTGCGTGTAACAACAACAGCAGTGCAGTAATCAGAAAATCCTTCTTTCAGGAGAGAGAAAGAAGATCGCCTGCTATCAACTTCCACCACGTTCCCTTCACGGAGGGGAAAAGCCCTCTCCAGGTTTACTGCGAGGCAGAAGGTGTCACAGTAAGGATCCCCACGTCTGGCTCTCCTTTCTCTAAATCAAATCCGACACTCTGTTCTGACTCCTGCTTTTTCCATTCCTCTCTTGTTAGGACATAGTAGTGGCAGAGCTGATGAAAAAATTGGACATTTTAGGGGATAACGCCGTAAGTGTATGTTCCTTTAATATATTGTGCATGCTTTGGTATGCGTTGTCCTCACGTTTATTGTAGCAAAGCTGCTTGGGTTGCAATGGCCAAAGCTGTGTGCAGAGCGGGCACTGAGCTGCACGCTATGTGCTCCCCAGCTTGTCAAGGCTTTTGTTGAGTGCCTTCTTGCAAATGCTGCACAGGACCTCGATACCACAGTATTGCTTCTAAATTGCCAATGAATGGTTTAGAAAATACTTGGAAATTTTGGATTTTCGTGCTTCTGTTTTTTTTTTCTCTCCGCTGCTCACACACGTTTTGTTCTCTGCATTTGCTTTACATTTCCGTTTTAACTGCTGTGTGTTTTAGTTTTGTCCAATGCCAAAAACGTTTAAATGGAAGCAGGATGTTACGCAACAAGTTACAACAGCAGTAGGAGAAGAAGAAACAAATAGTAAGAAGTTTGAAAGTGTTTCACCTGTACCAAGTCGGAGTGATTGCGCACATACACATCTTACGTGCACCCACACACCTGTGTAGCAGAGGCACTGCAGCTGCAGTGGGGTGGGTGTCCCTGTGCATGGGGCACATGGAGCAGTCAGAACAGCACCTCTCACTGCTCAGACCCTCCATCTGCCCCTCCAGACAGCCCTGAAGCTAGGAGATAGCAGAGCAATCAGAAGATACTGAAGTAATTAGCAATATTTACTGCTGCTGCAGTTAAGGATGCTTGTATTGGCAGAAGCGTGACAAATCCTAAAATCCTTGGGGTGTGGAAAACAAAAGCATGCGCATAAACCCAAGCACCAGTGAGTGAGGCTGGCCCTGGGAAAGGCAGAAAGATGAGCCCTTGTTCATGTCAGGCCATGCGGGACTGGAAGTGGTGATGGCAGGTCAGTCCTACGCCCAGGGCTCACCTCCCACCCTGCTGCTCCAGCCTTGTGCCCGCAGTCACACCTGTTGTGCATGCAAGGAAAGGCCAAGGACTGCACCTCTCCTCTAACAGCACGTCCCACAAGGCTCAGTTCTGTGTGGTGCAGCTGCTTTTATTCCCTGCTGGACAAAAATAAGATTTGGTGTCTGCATCTTCTTTCTTAATGCCAGAGTTTTAGAAGAACTCCCCACCTGTGTGATCACCATTCAGCATTAGTAGTTAATGACAGCTGTTCCTACAGCAACGCTGCGTTACAATGCTATTTTTATTTGCCTTAGTTTATTGTTGCTCGAATGATTTAATTTCGTATTTATCTCACACAGCAGTGGCCCAGTGCTGGGTTACGTGCCAGGCGCCGGGACTTGTTGTAATTCTGCTCTGATCTTGTGCAGAACCTGACCAACGAGGAGCAAGTGGTTGTCATACAAGCAAGGACAGTTCTCACATTGGCTGAAAAGGTAACGGCTGCGGAGCCCCACGATGAGCCCTGGTGCTCAGAGCAGCTGCTGGAGGTGCTGGGGATGAACCGGGGGGTGTTCACCAAAGGCTATGATTCCCTATAGGGCACTATACCTGAATGGGCTCTTGTCAGAATAGAGAGAAAATTTGAGCCATGTGCACAGACTGTTTGGTTTAAAAAGCTATTTAATTAGGGAAATGTTGGAGGGCAAATGGCAAACTTGGAACTAATGTTTTTTTTCCATCACAAATTCTTATAAAAGTGAAGGTGTCACAGTAGGTTCCATCCTTCCCCTGTCAGTCAGTGAAGCTAACTGCATGTTTGCAGTGCAAAGATGCACTCTGAATTTCCAGTGAGGGCTGACTGCTGCCTGTGGCCCTGTGTCCCAGCAGCCCCCAGCCTCTGCCTCAGCCCTGCTCTCTTTGTGTGCACAGTGGCTCCAGCAGATTGAGGTGACTGAGTCCGCACTGCAGCAGAAGATGCTGGATCTGGAGAATGAAAAGGTATGGGAACGGGGAGGGGGGGAACTGCAGGAAGGCAGGGAGGGCAGGCACAGCATTGACTGCACCTCCCTGTGCACCAGGAGCTGTTCAGCAAGCAGAAGGGCTACCTGGATGAGGAGCTGGACTTCAGGAAGCAGTCCTTGGACCAGGCGCACAAGGTGAGGACCGGGCAGTGCCAGAGGGACCCATTTCCCCCCTGTAAGGTGTGTGCTGTGCTGTCTCCAGAAATGCTCTCTGCTTCTGCCACTGCTGCTCATGGAGTGACCCAAGGACTGCATGGCTGGAATGCTAAGCAAATCCTCTGTGCCCTGGTCTCAGAGTGAGCTCCTTGGGGATGGTGGTCCTTGGGTGTGCGTGGTCCCTGCAGGTTTAGGACCTAAATGTAAAGTTATTAAACACGGATTTAAATTTAGCAGAGGCTGTAGTTAATGATAGTGCTTTTCTTTATGAAAGAGAGATTTTAGCCCAGACTTTCTCTTAGATCTTAGATTATGGTCTCTGCCACCAAAATACCTGGAGATATTATGGGATTCTGCACACTTGAAACAAAACTGCTGTTAGGTGAGGTTCATTGCACGCAGTAATGGATCCTATGCCATTTCAACCACCTCCTCAGCCTGCAGCCATTCTACTTCCTCCAGTGAAAGTACTTGTGTAGTCATAATATAGGCATAAATGCACACCTTGACCTGTAGATTTAGCCTATTCTTTTGGTTTCCCTTAAATCCTGAGGACAGTTATGCTTCCTGAGAAGCAATGGGTTTTTACACCTCTTTTTCGGGAACCCATTATCTACTCAGATGCCAAACCACTTGGGAGAGCTTTCAGTACACTTTTCAGTGCTGTGTGGATGACTTAAGCCTGGTTTGGCAAAATGCTCAGCTTGGTGCTCTTTGTCTGCCACTGGAGCAGAAGGAAGGAGCATAATGAAGTGCGCCTTCGTCCGTGCAGAACTGGCTGAGGATTATCTGCACTTCCCCACATTCTCAGGCAGCGCAGTGAGTTTCTGCACACGCACAAATGCGGGCTGAAAGCAGCCAGGAAGCTTTGTTCTTCCCTGAAATTCCAACGGTAAAAGCCATTCTGATTTGTGTAACTTGTCTCACATCCATGTTCCCTTTGTGCTCCCCAAGACGAGCTGCTGCTAATCTCCCCTGCAGCCACAGCCAAGCCGATTACCAGCCGGAACCGCCACGCTTTTCGCACGGCTTTCACTCCCTTGATTGCTGCTGAGGATTTTGTTCCAAGAAACGCTTTGTCACACAGATACAACCGCCCCAAAGACACTGAATTTCTCAGTTCTTCCCATTTTATTCGCAACTCAATTTCAGCAGAGAGGTATAATGGTGTTTAAGCAAGGTGTGGGGCCCAACGTGTTCCCAGCAGTGGGGTTTTGTTAGGGCAGCTATGGTCAGCCCGCTTGCTGGGGTTATTGCTACAAGTGGAAGGAGAACCTTCTTGTATATCCCACCATCCTTGCAGAGACACAGCAGCTACTGCTGCTCTCACCCATGTCTGCAGCTCCAAAGTGCAATTCCTTGTTTTCTTGTAAATATGAGTGCTACTCCGTCCCGACTCTGCTAAGTCATAATAAAAAAGCAGCAACAGCCGCCTCAGATGGAGCAAATTGCTCGTTTTGAATTCAGCTGAGTTATCACAGCAGACATCTCTGATATTTTCAACCAGCCCAGAGGTTCCAACCACACTACTTCGTCTTTTCCCTTTCCGCAACCGTCCGCCAACTCCGTGAAAGCAGGAGCTGAGCCCCAAGGTTTGGGTGGCACACGGGGGGACCGGGGCCCTCCCAGCAGCCACGCAGCCCACAGCCCTGCAGCACGGGGCTCCCAGCGCCCTGCCTGTGGCTGAGCTCTGTGCTGCCCAGTGCAGGACGCAGCCCCCAGCCCTCCCCTTGTCGTACAGAGGAAGGATGACCAGTTCCCCGCTGAACCCTCCCACCACCCGTGACCACGTTGAGCTGACAGCCGTATATATTATTTTTGATTAGCAAATTCTGGAATTAGAAGCCATGCTCTATGATGCCCTGCAGCAAGAAGCTGGAGCCAAAATTTCCGAACTTCTTTCAGAAGAGGAGAAAGAGAAACTGAAGAGCGCGGTAGAGCAGTGGAAGCGCCAGGTGATGAGCGAGCTGCGGGAGAGGGACGCCCAAATCCTGCGCGAGCGCATGGAGCTCGTCCAGCACGCCCAGCAGGTATGTGCTGCAGAGGGCAGGCAGCACTCAGCGCAGGGGCACGGTGACATCCATGCCACCCCTGCAGGGCCGCACCGGGGTCCCTGGTGTTGGAGCCGGGTTTGGTTTGCCTCAGAGCATCCCTTGAAATGGCAGCCTGGCGTCTGTGGGTTTGTTGTGCGTGGTGCTGCACTAACAGAGGACTCGTCTATGGCTTAAAACACGCATTTGTTTTTTAGAAGAGATATATGCGAGTCACATCCCTGAAAATAATACATCTTCTGGGTACGTTTGTGTTCGGTTGGTTAATATATTCTTCTTAAATTTCAAATTGAACAGAGAATTAAAGAGCTAGAAGAAAGAATTGAAGGCCAAAAAAGACAAATAAAAGAGTTAGAGGAAAAGGTAAGGGAATGCAGATGAAGCAGCTGATACATGATGTGTGCATGTCTGTATCTTCATTCCATCTTTGCTAAGAAAATAATCTTACAAAAAGTGATGCTGTGCATAAATTACCTTCTCGCAGTTCTCTCCCTGTGCCCAAAGCTCCCACCTGAATCTCACACAGAAGCAGCTCCCACGTGCCTGGCGCCACTTCTCCTCCTACAGCTTCAATTTTGGCCAAACCATAACTCACATTCTGCCCTAACGTGACCCTCATGTGAAACATCTATTCCTGGAGCAATTGCCAAGAGGGAACTTGCAGAATCACAGAACTGTGGAATCACAGAATTTTAGAATCATTTGAGCTGGAAAGGACCTGTAAGGACCATCTATTCCAGCCCCCCTGCAATGCACAGGGACACCCACAGCTCCATCAGTGCTCAGAGCCCATCCCCTGCACTGGGCTGTCTGCAGGGACCACCCCCCCTCTGGGCAGCCCACGCAGTGCCTCACTGCCCACTTCTTTCTTATACCCAGTCTAAGTCTCCCCTTACCGCAGGCACAATAGTTGTTGAGCTGAACTGTTGCCCAAAATCAAGCTCCAACCTTAGCAGTGCATACTTCTGGAGTATCAGAAGATCTCAGCTGCTGCTCTCCCTGCCTGCCTGCCCCAGGCTGCAGCTGGGCCGTGTTTCCCCATGCCCCAAGGGATGCAGGTAACTGCCTGAGCTGAGCAAAGCTGGCTCTGGGGGTCGCCCCGCAGTCGGTATTGCTTCCCAACACAAAGATTTGTTGCACTGTCTGTAACCATGGCTTATTCTCAGCTAAACACACTGCAAAATCTCACTCTCTTTCTTCTCTTCCATTTTTTCCTCTTTTCCCTCCCCTTTTCAGTTTTTATTTTTGTTTTTATTTTTCTCTCTAGCTTTCATTCTTTGGTCATAGCCCTCCAGGCCAAATGCAGAAGGTAAGCACTCGGCTTGCTTGGGTCCCCTCCTCTTCCCACGTGGCACAGAGCCCACCAGTGCTGCACAGCCTGCCCTGGCTGTGTCCATGCACTCTCTAGAGCTGCCCACACCTTAAATTAACGTGTGCCTGAAGTGTTGCTGGGATTACCCATTATCTCATGAAAACAGGAGAAAAAAGGCCAACCCATTTGTGCCTGGAGAGGTGGCAGAGATTGCCACGTTGGCCATGAGCAGCTTTGGAAGGAACGGTCTCTGTTACTCACGGAAGTCAATGGGATATGACATAAATGCTTTTTTACTTGTTGTACAATTCAAACAGATATATGCAAATATGAACCTTACAGAATTTTTGTGCGTGTTATTCAGGAATGGATTTTCTTTTCTTTGATCCATGTTTTAACATATTTTTCTTGTTTCAGCCTACTGATGAAGCTGGAATTGCTTCTACTGTTACTAAGTGGAAGATGGCATTGGTTGCCAAGACAGAGAAAGAGACATTGCAATGTCAAGAAAGCCAAATATATCTTGTATTTTGCTGCTGGAGATGGAGGAGTGAACCCTATGATCCTTTCAGACTGAAGATGAACCAGGCTGTGTGGGAACTCCTGCACAGGCGGGGTCTGCACCGCTGAAACCTCTGTCCATGCATTTTCAAAAGCTGGCACTAAGCTGACAAAGAAGAAAGCCAAAAAGCCCTGCCTCTGCTAACAGTTATGGGCTTCTCCCAAGCCTGTCTCTGCTGCTTGGAATAACTCAGCTTTACCTAAGGAGCAGTATACTAATTCAGATACACTGAATATATTTTAGTTCCCTGCTAAGCAGGTAGAGAATTGCTTCTCTGTGGAAGTGACTATGTCCCGTTTTATATGTCAGTCATTTATATTTGTGATTCATAGTTATTTACAAATCTGTCTTGAAAGAAATTTATAGAGGGAGCTCCAGGTGAATAACTCCTGAAAAGACAAACATGAGCTACGAGAGTGCGTTGTGTTCCAGGCATTTCATCACAGCACGGGGTCTGCCCAAATTGCTGACTGCCCCACCAGGCCAGGATTAGGGGAAAAACGTGAAGCTCTGTTTGAACCCTTCAGGAAATGAAACTGTACTTGGCTGTGAGCTGTCAGGAGGCCATGCTGCGCAGCACGATGACAAAACTGGCATGCTAATGTGGAGCTCGCTATTCCTGAATGATGCTAACAGGCCCAACGCTGTCCATTAAAACGTTCAACTTGAGAAAGAGTGAACCTGAAAACACACCATCCCTGATCCCGATGCGGGAGGTGGCACGAGGGGCGCAGGCACGGATATGCAGAGCATGTGCCCGAGGCCGGGCTCGGAGCCAGGAGAGGGAATCTTCGATAGCAACAGATGAGGAGGAAGAGCCCCAGGGGAGTCCCACCGGTACTTCGCCACATGGGAACTGGAGCCAGGTGTGTAAATCCGGACCTGCTGGTGGATGGGAGCCGCCTGCTGTTCCTGGAGCCCCAGCCTGCAGGGAGCAGCTCTGCCCACCGCTGGGAGCACCGGGAGGAACGCGAAGCCAGGGAGCTCCGACAGGTAAGGCAGGAGATTCCTAACAGCTGATTTATTATATAACTACATGTATGACTTCCTTTGTAACAGTGTGGCTGTCGGTCTGGCTCACTCAACCTATTTGTGATAATAACACAGAGAAGAAATGGAATAGTCCACGGTCTTTATGTAAATGACTTGTTTGTTTGTCTTACTTCAGTCCATAATTTCGACACCGAATTTCAGTATGAGCACAGCTGTTTCGTTGGTGGGCTTTTATTTTTTTTCAAATCAGTGCTCACTCCCAAAAGCAGAGTCCATCAGGATCAGCTGGAACGTGTCAGCCCTGAAGGAGCCGCTCCGCAGCGCTCCCTCCCGCCCAGCCTGCCGACACACGGCGCAGGGCTGCGGCTGGAAATTACCGATCTGAAACGGGGCCGCCCCCAACCCTCCTGCACAGAGCTCCGCCGCGCCGCAAGGGGGCGCTGCAGCACAGAGAGCGGCTGCGGGGCGGCAGAGCCCGCTACTTCCGGGGCTGCTCTTCACTGACTTCCGGGCGGCGGGGCGGCGATGGCGGCGCTGCGGGCTGCCGGCGCTAGGGGGCGGCAGAGCCGCTGGGGCTCGTTGATCTCGGACCCGTAGAAGCGTTTAAGCGCCCCCAGAGGCGTTATTTTTGTCCCGTTGATCTCGCTTAATAAAGAGAAGTTAAAAAGAGGAGCCCCGTCCCTCGGGAGCAGCGCAGCACACGCTGCTGTCGGGGTTCCCAGGACAATTCCCTGCTGCCCTCGGGCTCCCGCACAGCTCTCAGCAGCCGGCCCTGATGTCAAAGTGCGCTGCGGAGTGGCGCAGATAACGCAGAACGACGGAGGCGGTTCCTGTGTCTGCCCTCATAGGAGAGACCCCTCGTGGGGCAGGGTGGCACTCAGGCAGCAATCCAGATTCACGACTGCAAAGGTTTCCTACTGATAATACAAGATAGCAATGTATTTACTATTCGAATTAAACTTAGGTATTGAAAATGTTAGGTGTTGGCAGAGCTCAGCCTGCGAGGTGGGCGCCGCTGCCATTCAGCACACGGGGCGTGCAGGACGCCCTGCAGAGCACGGGGAGCTGCCTCCTCCTGACCCCCGTGAGCAGCAGTGGGCCGCCCTCGGGCTCACGGTGCACAATAATCCCGGGCAGTGACACAGCTCTACCCTCCTGTTTCTTCTTCAGCAGCACGAATTTGCTTTAGGAGTGGATGTAGCATTTTTAACGGAGAATATTCAGCGTTCTTTCCTACTGCAGGCAGGAGAGCAATTAGAAATGCCAAACCGAGATCTTCAGCACCTGTTCTTTTTATCTCCCCGTGGCACCTCTGGGCGCCTTCACACCTGCCCAGCAGTGAAGCTGGAGAGCAGCGTTCTGCTGCCAGCTGTCCCGTCGGGTCACCTCCTTTTACACCTCTGCTGGATCACAGAATCACAGAATGGCCCGGGTTGGAAGGGACCTCAAGGATCACGAAGCTCCAACCCTGCCACCACATGCAGGGCCACCAACCTCCACATTTCACAGCAGCCCAGGCTGCCCAGGGCCCCATCCAACCTGGCCTTGAACACCTCCAGGGATGGACGGGGCATCACAGCCTCTCTGGGCAGCTGCTCCAGCACCTCACCACTCTCATAGGAAAGAACTTCCCCCTGACATCCAACCTCAATCTGCCCTCCCTCAACTTCAAACCATTTCCCCTCATCCTGCAGTCATCAACCCTTTCAAAGAATTGATTCCCCTCCCCTCTGTAGGCTCCTTTAGGTTGCAGTGAGGTCACCCCACGGCCTTATGTTCATGCTTCTGTCCAGGATCTGTCCATGCTATCCTGTTCCTTTGGTAGATAATTACTTTTCTCTAAATCACTTTATTTATTGACGGTGTAATCACACTGCACTTTTTATTGCTGTGCTTCAGTTATCAGAAGAGATTTTTTTTAAGGTCAGCAGCACATTTTTGCAGAAACGATCCACAGGAGAGATGATGAGCTGCTAGAGCTTAAATTTTGCTTCATTGTTCCATCGGCCACATCCTGTATATTTCCATTTATTTTCAAAGGGGCTGTAAAAGGCTTACTTTGCAGGGGTATGGAGGCAAGGTTAATAAGCTACGTTATTAGAATACTAATTGGGGATCCTTTGCTGTGCAGAAGGACTCAAAACATCTTTGTTTAGCATGAGCCAAATAGGGGAAATTCAGGACTTCAGGAAGCCCCCCCCAGTGGGATGAATGGGAGCATATAAAGCAGAAGGCTCAAAGTGTTTACTGTGATGTAAATCCTGTGTAATTGATCCCAGTAAAGAGCAGAATGTGGCTCAGTATTAACAAAGGGGTTTCCTGCAGACTAATAACAACCAACATGCAGAAAAGTGTGGAGCGCCTCGTTGCACCATTTTTCTGCTTTAATATTTCAGGGATTTATATGGGCTGAAGTGCATAGAAATGCACAGAAATGACAGTGTCAGCCTGAATTTGCAGTGTCTGGAGAAGAGGTGAGAGGGAGGAACCTCGGGCAGAAATAACGACACGGTGGTGCCTGAGCACAGCGCAGGTTGGAGGTTTGGTCACTGAGGGATTTCAGTTCATGAAGCCCAAGTGAAAGGCTGCAAATTACTGTTCAGCCAATTCCACCAGAAAACAGTGTGAAGCAGAACTGATGAGGTTTTCCTTGTAAGCAGAAAGTCTGCTTTCTGGAAGTTATGTGAGATGCTGCTCCAACAGACTTCACACAGGACTGATTTGTTGCATTAATTGGACACAAACCCAGAAAAGACAATGGCATCATGTCCTTCTCCATCAGATACAGCTACAAAATGCAGACACCTAAAATGCTAAGCAGAGAACAATGTTTCTGTAAGGAAGCAGGACCCCCCAGACAGTTAAATGCTTAGAATTAACATTGCTGGAAAAATATTTCTACTGACTTGTATTGCTGTTAAGGTCAGCTTGCAGCCAACCATTCCAGCCAGATGAACAGATACACTTCTGCTCTCTTTCTGAGGGCCTGAGCACGGTGCTTCCACCACCTTTGAATAGCACAGGGTTTGTTTGATTGAGTTTCCTGCTGAGATCCGGGAGCACAACAGCTCCAGACCCAGAGGTGAACAAAAGCAGAGCTGTGTGCTCGCCGTGCGTTCTTCAGGAGAGCTCAGTGAAAGGATGGAAGTCAAAGAAATGGTGAAAGCACGACCTGATGTGCAGAGCCCTGTTTTGCGGGGTGGTGTTTGATGCCGAGCGCACAATTAATTCATACAAGTGTCCTCATGTTTGCTGTACGGAGCAGGGCGGTCTCTGATCTCTCAGTGCTGCAGTTCCTGCAGGGCCTCCCCCTCAAACCTCCTGAACTCTGGGTCTGTGCTTTTGTGGAAGAGTCCAATTCTGATCTGTGAGCTCGCATAAATATGGGGTTAAACGCCTTGATTAACATTTAAAAGGGCCCCCACATCTGTCGGGCCTTCCCACAGCTGCTGCAGGACAGCGTGCTCTGCTCAAACAGCAGCATCCAGCACAGAGCTGAGGTTTGGAGCAGTGTCACACAGAGTTTTCTGCTCGTGCTGCCAGCGTCCTGGCATGCCAGCCGGGTTACACGCTCTGCAGTGACAACTGTTTTCACTGGGTATCATGTTGGCAATGCGATGTTTTGTTCACCAAAACCAGCAAGGCAGTAGCTGTAATCGAGTGACCCATTCAGCCCTAACGCGGCACAGAAGCTGAGATTTGCCCTGTAGAGGTAATGAGCCATGGAGCATTTTCTGAAACAAACTTTGCCCTTTTTATCATTCCCCTTCAGGGGGGCTGCAGCACTGCAGATCTCATTTCTATGAGGTCCAAAGCATTCTCTCCTTGGTTTACTCTCATTTCACGACTGTATCTTCCAGACAGGGCAGGATCTTCTTCTGTTAGGGAGGAAACAAGGGAAACTGACCAGCTAAAACAAACTCATCTTTGTCAATCTTTCCCATTTCATTCATTCAGAGTCCCAGGAATGAACTGTGAGTGAGCTGGGGACGTGTGGGCTTTGTGTTCCTTCACTTTGGTGGGGCTGCACAGCACAGCCCTTAACTATTGTCTGAGGAATGGAGTTTTGAGTATACACACAAATCAGCTAGATTAAACTTCAGTTGTGTAAGTCACAGTGCTGTCAGTCACGGCTTGTCGTGTTCGTCCTCATCTGTAAAGATCTCGTGTGGTGGGGCTGAGGAGGAGATCCAGCTGCCCAATGGTGTCACGGTGAGGGACTGGTGTGTCCCTGCCAGCACCACCACAGTGTGCATAGACAGAGCTGCAGGAAGGATGTACTGTGGAGAATGACAATTCTGAAGAGTGAGAACAACGACTCTTTGGCCTGGCTTAAGTTTAAGTTCCAGGTGTTGTTGCCCAGCTCCTGCTTCTCAGCCTGGCTTCCTAAGGACAGGGATGTGTCTGCACCCAGCCCACAGCCCAGGGTTTCGCCAGTAGTTCCAGCAGTGACAGGCAGCTCCTGGAGGGCAGGAGAGGAGGCTGGGGCTGGGTGAGGTGCAGGGCTGCAGCAGGCCGTGGTGTGAGTGGGCACAGAGCAGCAGGGCAGTGCGTGGCAGGAGGCTGCCCTGAGCAGCAGTGCGGGTGCTGTGCAGGATGTGTCTGCCCCACTGGGCAATTATTGCTCCCAGACGAACCTCTGCCAGGAAAAGAACCTGTCTGAGGAGCTCAGACCTGTGATGGCTTTCTTACAAAGATCTGCAGAGGCAGATGTAGGCAAACGTGTTCCGTCGGTGGCTTTCGCTGAAGTAGGGCTGTCCCAGTGGCTGGCATCATTCTCATAACGAGCAGAAAAAGCCCCGGGGCTGCCACAAATTGACAGGAGGACCATGAGGGGGCTGTGAAGGAGATGGCAGTGCTGTGACAGCCGTGGAGATGGGGGCTGCACCACTCACCCCTGCCAGACCAGCACAGCCTGCCCAGCCTGCAGTAATTGCTCTGGTAGGGTGACTGCGGAGCACCAACAGCTGCAAATACACCACCCCATATTTTTTTCCTTACTTAGAAATGGTTCCACGTGGTTTATGTACAATTACAGTTGTTAGCTAATAGATTTGTCTTACTAAAAAGCAATCAAACATCATTAAGCAATTAAACACAACTGCGCGGTTGCACGACAGTTCCACACAGGTGTAGTGCAGATTCACCCGTAGCACCATATGCTGCCAAACGAACAAAAGGCTTTGAAGGAGCTGAAGGCTCCTATCTGGGAGCCACGCCAACGCTGGCTCTGTGTCCCAAAGCAGTTTGTTTCAGCCCTGCATGGCTGCTCTGCAGCCTCCTTCACACAGGTGCGCGTGCTGCCCAGCAGTTACACCCCGCAGTGTGGGAGGGGGTCCCCAGAAGTGCTGCAGTGTTTGGGATCAGCATCGCTGCAGGAGGGGCCTCTGGCTGTGCTTCACCCCTGTGTTTGTTTCTCCCATAGGTGCCCGCACTGCTTCTGCAACCCACGGCAGCTTTAGAAAGCTGAGAAGTGAACCCGTTGATAACAAAATTCTAAAGCCCTGGTGTTGGTACAGCAGCCCTCCATTCACACTGGGCACTGAGCAGCACGGGAACCAACAGCAGAACTGTCAGAGCTCAGATTGTTCAGAAGAGTGTTTCATCTGTGCTGAAATAATGGGACAAAACGAGAATCAAAGGTGATGGACTTCGATATCAGCATATATCTGATAGGAGTCATGTACCCGACCCAGCTCCACCCCACACAAGCACCTACATTGGGGTGACGCAGATGAGCCAAACAGTCCCTTCCACATTTTATGCACAAAGAAGTCAAATCCCAAACGTCCGTTTTGAATTGCACTTAAACGCAACGTCTTACCGCACTCGGTTACGTGGCAGCACTGCACAGAGCTGTGTGTGGCACACGGCGGGCCCTCGTGGAGATTCTGCAAGCCAGGAAGGCCCGGGATGTGCTCTGTGGCATCTGCAGAATGCCTTAACCCCACCGGGGGGCGGCGTGGGGCAGAGAGCCGCTTCCAAACTGAGATTCCCCGTAACTCAGACCCCGGTCCCGCGTGCGTGCCGCACAGGTCCAGCTCTTGGTTAGATTTCCTTACGGTGTTTTCTTTAATGAGAAAGCTGTACAGGACGCGTCCATGTGTAAATAAGGGATTACGTTTATGTAGACGTTAATATTTACATGTAAAAAGTTATGTACATAGGAAAGAAAACAACGGCTCAAAGAATGTTTTTAAAACAGTTTCTTCTGTCTAAAGGCACAGAAGGACAGCAACACAGACGTGCTGCTGAGCTCAACGTAAGCTCAGCTTTGTGCTCGGCTTGGGGAGGCTCGGGGCTCGGTCCTGGGGGCTGAGGGGCCCTGGGCAGCCCCAGCCCTGCTCCAAACAGGACGGAGGGGCACGCACTGAACGCACTGCCCGCTCACCGCTGCTCTGCTATGGCAGCCTGATTTCACCTACCGGAGCTTGGAAAGAGCGTGCAGTGTGTTATGTGCAGCACGGGGAGCTTCTGGAGGAACGCCGAAGGAGTCGCAGGTGCTCCCAGTTCGGGTGCTGCAGTGCTGGGCAGAGGCACGGCCTGGGCTGGACTGATGCCACACAGCTGAACTAAGAGCCGCTCTGATCTCAGCTCACCCGGCTGCAGGAGCGCGGCCGTCAGCGAGCGCTGTGCTCCAGCAGCACCCCAGCTTTCAGCGCATCCCCGAGTGCCTTACGCAGCTCCCAAACGGAGCCACCGGCAGCCCAGGGGCTCAGGAATCCGTGCTGCGAATAGTGCAGCACAGCCCCTACTGATGCGAGGTGTGTTTGCTAAAAAGGAACGCTGAACATCGATGCGAACCGGAGAAAATGGTTCCCCGGCCGCCGTGCTGTGCGCCGCGCTGTGACCTCCAGCAGCCGCATCCCGAGTGCAGAACGTTGGGTCGGTGCTGAGGCGACGACTGCTGGGCCCAAGGCGGGGCTGCATCGATCAATTACAGAATTTTACACGTATTTTTGTATCGTGATTCATATGATATATATCAAGAGACTTTCTATTCATTTGTAAAATACATAAATTATTGTAAACTTTTAATAAAAAGAGCTGTTTTAAACCTTGAAATAGGCGACTTGTTTTCTCCCTGGCACAGGTGGAAGCCAGGTGTTACTCACTTCGCTCACCCTTTCCATTATGCCCTAATTTTAAACAGCTGAAGTTCCACCCGACCCATCGATGATACCCGGAACAAAACCCGCACCCGCAGCGCAGCCCCTATTGCCGGGCTCAGCGCCGATCTCTGCCGTTCTCAAACCGCTGACCGCGGAGTCCCCAGCAGCGCGGAGTTCCGGGGCACGGCGCTGCCATCGCTGCGGAGTGCCGCCCGCGGCGGGGGGCGGCGCGGAGAAGCGCCAGGCGCGGCGGGGGGCCGCTCCCAGAGGACGGGCCGCGGCCGTCGGAGGTGGGCGCTGAGCGGCTGCGGGCGCTCCTCCCGCGCGGTGCCGCCCGGTGCGGGCCATGGCGGAGCGGAGCGCCGAGCCGCTGCCCGCCTGCTTCGCGGGTCTGGGAGCGGGCAGCCCTCGGCCGCGACAGAAACGCGGCGGGATGTTCTGCAGCGTGGAGGACGCCTTCGACAACAAGACGTTGGATTTCCCCTCGCTCGGCGGCGGCGGTGGCTGCGGTCGGTCCCGTGGCTCCGCGACCCCGTCCGACGGCAGTAGCAGCCCCGCGCCGCCGCCGCCGCCGCGCTCTCCGGGGGCCGCCACCGCGGGTCGAGACGTCGGGACGTCCGACGGCTGCCGGCAGGTGCGTGTTTGTGTGTGTGTGTGTGTGTGTGTGTTTGTGTGCGCGTGGGGCTGGCCGGGCCATCCGCTCCGTCCTGTGCCGTCGGGGAAGCCTCGCGCGGGGGCCGGGCCGGCCAGCACGGCGCCGCCGGTCAGCGTGGGTGCCAGGAGCGGAGCTACTGCTCTGGCCGGTTCTAACGGAGCCACCGGCGCTGCCGCGGAGCCGCTTCCGACGGCAGCAGCGAGAGCGTGGCCCCGGCGGGCGGGGGGAGCCGGCGGCGGGGGGCGCGCAGGCGCGGGGCCGCGCACGGCCGGGCACGACGCAGACACACGGAGCGGCGGAAGATGTCGAACCCGGGCAAGAGGAGCGGCCCTCGTGGCACGGTGAGGGGCTCCGGAGGGGGGGAAGCCGGGCTCGCGCCGTTTGGCAGCGGGAGCGGAAGAGCCGAGGCTGGCCGCGCGTCCCGGCTGGGAGCTTTCGGCTCCTTCGGGAGAGCGCCCCGCAGCGCTGGGGCCGTTCGGCTCCGAACCGCGACCCCCAGCCCCGCATCGCGGCTTCGGGCGCAGGGCCCTTCGGTGGCGGCGGCCTCGCGTGACCCGCTGTGACTCGGAGCTCCGGCTCTGCGCCTTTGTCTGCCCGGCGGCCCCGCACACAAAGCCGCGCTCCGCGCACAAAGGCGACGGCGCCGCTCTCCGCAGCGCCCCGAGCCCCGCGATGCCCCGCGCTTCATCCCGCGCCCGGAGCGCTGCGGGGGTCCGGCGGAGATCCTCCGCCTGTTGTCGCCGCTCTGTTTGGGAGCGCTCCGCCAACCGGCGCCGCCGCTGCTGCTGTAGGAGGGGATTCCCTGCTCCTATTGCCGAGCAGAAGTGAGGGAAATCTCCAGACAGCGACGCTGCTTTTTTGTTTTTGGTGTTTTTTTTTCCTTTTTATCCTGTGTTTTCCCGTCGGCTCACCCTGCGGTCCCCGCACGCATCGCGCTGTCTGAGCGCAGCCGCGCGGATCGGAGCCGCCATCCCGGCCGGGGGCGGGGATTTGCGCTGTGCCCGTGGGGCAGCCGGCGCAGCTCCTCGTGATTGATGTTATGGGACGCGCACGAACAATAGCGATGCGATAAATGCCTTTTCCGAAAGGCAGCGCCGTTGCTCGTGGTTCCTTCGTGCACCCAGGAGGTCCCTTTCCCCGCACCCCGACGTGTTTGCAGGCTGTCCCGCAGCAGCACGCAATGCTGGGGCGGTCGGCAGCCCCGCGTGCGTCCCTCGCTGTGTTTGTGCCCCCAGCACCGCCCACTGCAGCCTCGCTGATATTCGCTAATACAGCGGAGGGTCGGAAAGGAGCCCTCTAATTATGCTGCAGCTCTCTAACGTTTCTGGTTAAAGATCTCATCAATCTGACAGCGGCTTGCAGCCTTACTTTGAAGGGAGGAAAGGCCTCGAGGCGTTACCACCTCTCCGGGACTGGAAAAGCTAATTGTGTCAATAAATTAGCAGGTCAATGAGATGCACTTAGCGGTGCTTGCAGCCCCAACCCCACATCTCACCGTGAGCAGCGTCCACGGGAAGAAATCCTACATTTGCTTTTTGTCCACTTAGAGCGAGCAGCTTCTGATCAAGGGCGGGAAGATCGTCAACGACGACCAGTCTTTCTATGCCGACGTATACGTGGAGGATGGCTTAATAAAGTAAGTGAAGTTCTGTGATGTCGCTGCCAGCAGATCCCAGTGCTGTTCAATGTGCACGAAGCTCCTGTCTGCGGGGCTGGGCTGGGTGTTCACCTGAATGCTGTGTTCAGACAGATTGGAGAGAACCTGGCTGTTCCCAGCGGAGTGAGGACGGTGGATGCCTACGGGCAGCTGGTGGTGCCGGGTGGCATCGATGTGCACACGAGGCTGCAGATGGCTGTGATGGGGATGGCCTCCGCTGATGACTTCTACCAAGGCACCAGGGCGGCCCTGGCGGGAGGAACCACGATGATAAGTAAGATGGGCAGCGCTGTGCAGGGCCTTTGTCATGGCAGAGCTTTGTTCTCCTCCTAGCAGAGAAATGTTCATTTTTCTGTAGTAACCGAAGCATTAAAAAGCAAAGTCGAATGCATGATGTGCTTCTCAGTAACCTCCTCTTGTAATACATGTATATTGAACACACTTAGCAGTTCCTGCTTCACCTCATAGAGCCACAGAACCATTAATGCTGGAAGAGCCTTCTGAGACCCCCACACAGCCCACGTCCCTCAGTGCCACATCCCTGCAGCTCTGAACACCTCTGTAGATGGGGACTGCCCGCCCCTGGGCAGCTGTGCCAGCACCTGGCTGCTCTCTGGAGAACAAATTGTTCCTAATACCCAACTTGAATCTCATGACAATAGAACAGGAGAAAATGTTAATCACCATTTTGTATATTTTAATAGCTATGCAACTATACTTACAAATCTATCAGCTCTATGAGTGTGGGTTCCACTTTGTTACATATGTCAGTTTTGATTTCTATTCGTTCTTATTCTGATCCCAAAACCCACAGAACAGCACCTGTCTGCAGGGAGCTCAGCAAGCCCTGCCCCAGCTTTGTGCATCCATCTGCCCACCCAAGTGTGGAGGTGCCCCATCCCTGCAGGCAGCCCAGGGCAGGGGATGGGCTCTGAGCACCGACAGAGCTGTGGACATCCCTGCTCCCTGCAGGGGCCGGCCTTTGGAAGTCCCTTCCAACTCAGATGGTTCTGTGCATATGAATTGCTGTCGGGGTGTTTCTTTGGGGCAGCGGCTGCGCTGATGTCCAGCCACACACGGTGGTGCCAGGCAGCCCCCCAGCTCCGTGTGGTGTCTTTCAGTGGACCACGTGCTGCCCGAGGCTGGGACCAGCCTGCTGGCTGCCTACGAGCAGTGGCGGCAGCGTGCTGACAGCAGGGCCTGCTGCGACTACGCGCTGCACATGGACATCCCGCGCTGGCACGAGGGCCTGCAGGAGGAGCTGGAGGCGCTGGTGAAGGACAAGGGTAAGGAGCTCTGACTTACAGAAGCTATTCGAGTACAAGCGTTGGAGGTTGGGCTCCAGAATGGGGTGAAGCGTTGGGCTTTTCCCGGAGATGTCCTTTGTGTTCTGATTCCTGCGCTCTCTGAGCATCCCTTGGATGCAGCCCAGGGAGGTGCTGGCCGGCGTCAGGAATTTGTGCCTTTCATTAATTCTTAATGCCGAGTTTGGAGCTTTCAGATACGCTAACGCAACGCTAAATGACTTCAGTGTAATTTGCAGTCTTGCAAGCGAGGCCCTAATTGGTCATTTAACATAAAAAATTGCAATGAATCTCCTATTAAAACGCAGAGCAGCCGAGTAATGGATCATTTGGAGCTTAAAACATATTTTTCATATTTACCTTCTCTTGAAATACAGTTTGTTTGTGGTTTGATCATAGTTTGGAATCAGTTGTTGCCTTTATCCATATAAAACATGCTGGCAGTTCTCAGGCTTTGACTCTGCTCCGTGAATCGTGTTCTGCGTTCAATAGGAACAAAAGAGGTTGTGTGCAATGCTGTGTGCAAAGCAGTGTGCCTGTTTCTCTGTTGAAATAGTGCACTGAGTAACAGTGCTTAGGAATAGGAGAGACCCTCACAGCTGAGCCCACACAGAGCTCAGCCGTGCCCAGGCTCTGAGCTCTGGCAATCACTGCACATCTCATTTTCTCTTCCCAAGGTGTGAACTCCTTCCTGGTTTTTATGGCCTACAAGGACAGGCTCCAGTGCACCGATGCCCAGGTAATGCAGGCAGCTGCTGTGCGGTG